AAAAAAGTTCCAGAGACTGCTGAGTGCGATGCAAACATTAAAATGGGGTGGTACGGGGCCAGCCAAGTGGCTCAGTTGGTTGAAAGCTCACTCAAGAGTGTGAGCTCTGAGCAACAAGGTCGCCGGTTTGATTCCCACCCTGAGCTGAGCTGCTGCTGAGCTACCAACAGGTGGCAGGATGGCTCACCTAAAAAGAAAAAAAAAAGAAAATAGGGTGGTACGTTAGAGAGAGACAGAACAGGTCCACCATGCTGTGATGTGAATGAGAAGAAGGAGCCAGCCACGAAAGACAGCAGGAGAAATGGCTTCTCAGGCACTGAGAACAGCTACTACATGGCTCTAAGTGGGAGTCAGCTGGGAACAGCGATGGAACAGAAAGAAGGACCAAGCACTAAGCTATAAAAATACCGAGAATTAAATCCAATGAGAAATGTGCAAAATCTAAGAGAATGTTCTAAAACTTTACTGGTAGTTATTAAAAACCTTAGTGAAGGGGTATATTGTGTTTTTGAATGGGGAGACACACTGTTTAAGATAATTTCCCCAAAATCATCTATAAAATAACACAATTATAACTTTAAAATTCTATTAATTATTCTTAGTTTGTTTTAATTTGGAACTTGACAAATGAATTGTAAGGCTCAGCTGAACAAATAACTATGTAAGAATAGCCCAGAAATGTTTAAGTAAAAGAATAATAATGAAAGTCATGCCCTAGCCAACATAAAAAATAAATTATAGGGCCGCCGAGTGGCTCAGTTGGTTAAGAGTTGGCTTAAGAGCGCGAGCTCTGAGCAACGGGGCTGCCGGTTCAATTCCCACATGGGCCAGTGATGCTGCGCCTCAGCTGAGCTGTTGCTGAGCTGCCAACAAGTGGCAGGATGGCTCAGCTGGTGTAACAACAAGATTGCCTGTTCGATGTGCATGTAGAAACTGGTGAAATCACAATAAGGTTCGTAATTTACTTAATAGGGTTGCACCAATGTCAATTTCCTGACTTTAACAATGTACTGTAGTTATGTAAGATATTTGGGGAACCTGGGTAAAGGGTACACGAGAACTCTCTACTAATTTTGCAACTTTTTCTATATCTTAAACTATTTTGAAACAAAAAGTTATAATGTAAAAAAGAAAAATCACAAGTGAAAAACCTTATGTGTATAAACTATTTCAAAATAAGTTATAATTTAAAAAAAAGACATAAATGAAAAACCAGGAAATGTAACTGCAACAGATATAACAGAAAAAGAGGTACCATCCAAAAGATATAGAGCACCTATAAATCTATATGAAAATGATAAATAACCCAACCAATAAGTGGACAAATATCAGGAAATCCAGAGAAGATATATAAATATATGTCCATAGTCAATCTCACTAATAATCAAATAAACTCAGATGAAGACAACAGGGAAATATTAGTTTCCATCCATAAAAGATTCCTGGCCAGGATATAGAGAAAGTGGCTCTCTCATAAACTGCTAAGTGAAAGTGTAAATTAGCTAGCATTCTAAAAGGTAACTGGATGGCACCTCCCAAATTTTAAATGTTTACACCATTTGACCCGGTAATTCTGCTTCTAGGAATACACAGATGTTCACTGAAGCACTGTTTATAATAACAAAGAATTGGAGATGACTTAAATGTTTGTTACAGGGACTTGAGTAGAAAAATTATAATGGCAACTAATATTTATTTATCTGGTGCTTTCGATGTCCCAGGAACTTCCATAAGTGTTTTACATGTATTAACTCATTTAATCCTTACAACAATCCTATGACATAGGTTCTAGGTACTATTTTTCTTCTCCCCCTCCCGTTCCTACCCTCCTCTCCCCCTTCTCCCCCCCTCCAATCAGTTGTTCTCAGTCTAGTTGTGGAGGATGCTGCTGGCCCACGTTGGTATTATGATCATTGCTCTGTATCCGGCTGAGGCAGTCAGTGGCGGGCTGTCAGCCATGCGCTCACTGTGGCTGCTGGCCTGCTGGGCCCAGCTCCAGGCCGAGCTGTTGTTCACAATCTTAGCTGTAGAGGGTGCAGCTTACTGGCCTATGTGAGAATCGAACCGGCAGCCCTGTTCAGAGTTTGCACTCTTACCAACTGAGCTATCCAGCTGCCCCTCTAGATACTATTATGCCCATTTTGCAACAGAGGACATTCATTAGCAAGGGGGAAGGAGGGCTGGGATTCACACCAAAGCGCCTGGGTCCAGGACCCACCCCCCTAACCTTACACATTTCCAGGCGGGACATGCAGGCATATCACATGAGAAAATGGAGCTACAAAGCAGTGTGTATACTAGGATCCCAGAGCGTGTGTACATAAACAGAAAGGTCTGACAGATTATCTTTGGGGCTTGATATTATAGAAAACATTTACTCTTTTGTTTATACATTTTAATATTGTTTGCATTTTTTACAATAAAATGTATCATTTTTATAATTTAAGAACAGTAAGAATATTTAAAGGTAATAGATGCAAAATTTAAAATAGAAGAAAAGAAAAAAATACCTCTTACAGGAATTGCATGGCATGAGGCACTCACTCCCCAGACTCACTCCCCCCACCCCCCAGACAGGGGATGACCTTCCAGGGAGGGGCTCTCCTCAGGCTGGGACCCTTTCTCTGAGGGTGAAGGTGAAATCTCACGGAGAAGCCTGTATGTCAGTGGTTCTCAACCTGTGGGTTG